AGAAGTGTACCCAGAAGTCACCTACTACAGGACAGGCCCAACAAAGAAAGTAACAGAACGCCACTGGCCATCACCTACAGCCCCCAACTAAAACCTCTCCAGCGCATCATCAAGGATCTACAACCTATCCTGAAGAATGATCCCTCACTCTCACAGATCTTGGGAGACAGGCCAGTCCTCACTTACAGACATTCCCTCAATCTGAAGCAAATACTCACCAGCAACCACACACCACACCACAGAAACACCAACCCAGGAACCAATCCCTGTAGCAAACCTTGTTGGCTACTCTACTCTAGCGACACCATAGTAGGACCCAACCACATCAGCCACACCATCAGAGGATCATTCACCTGCACATCTACTAATGTGATATATGCAATCATGTGCCAGCAATGCCCCTCTGCCATGTACATTGGCCAAACTGGACAGTCCCTCCGCAAAAGAATAAATGGACACAAATCGGACATCAGGAATGGTAACATACAAAAGCCAGTAGGAGAACACTTCAATCTCCCTGGTCATTCTATAACAGATTTAAAAGTAGCTAAACTTGAACAAAAAAACTTCAGAAACAGACTTCAAAGAGAAACAACAGAACTAAATTTCATTTGCAAATTTAACACCATTAATCTGGGCTTGAATAGGGACTGGGAGTGGCTGTCTCACTACAAAAGCAGCTTTGCCTCTCCTGGAATTGACACCTCCTCATCTATTATTGGGAGTGGACCACATCCACCCTGATCAAATTGGCCCTGTCAACACTGGTTGTCCACTTGCGAAGTAACTCCCTGCTCTCCATGTGTCAGTATATAATGCCTGCATCTGTAACTTTCACTCTATGCACCTGAAGTGGTTTTTTTTACCCACGAAAGCTTATGCCCAAAGAAATAAATCTCAGCATCCAGTTAAATACCAAAGCTGGTTCCTATGCATGGACTGGGTGGTTTGGTGACTAATGCCCCAGACCCAGTGCATAGAGAGTGTCACGGACTCACAGATTGTGCCCACTTTTGGCCCCGTGCGGTCCGTGGGGGGTGCCCCTTTTAGTGCGACAGCCCTTCTCGGGGGTCCACTCTCTCTCGGGGTCAGGCCCCTCCACCTCCTGGAGCCACACCTCTCTGAGCCTTAGCACGTCTGTCTCTGCCATGGGCCCCCTCAGGGAGTCCACTCGCTCTAGACCCCCGGGGCCTCCACCCCCCGAAGGGGTTGATGCAACCCTGTTCTCTAGACCGGAGTGACTCTCAGCCAGCATAAAACAGGAGGATTTATTGAGAGTTGAACACAGCACAGGAAACTCTCAGGGCCTCAGGCCTGGCCTCCCTCAGCCCAGCACATCCCAGTCTCTCTGCATCCAGGTGGGCCCTGCCTGCTCCTCCTCTCCAGCCCAGAGCCCCCTTGCTTCCCAGCTGAGCATCTGAGATCCCCGGCCCCAGGTCCCGCCTCTGTCCATTGTCTTCTCTCCAGGTAAACAGGGTCGTAAACCGGGGCCTCCTCTCCTGCTTCTCCCTCTGGCTGGAACCGGCTGGTCAGGTCACTGGGTCCTCACTCTGCAGCCCATTGTCCGCCCACTAGCCAGAACCGGCTGCATCTCCTCAGCTGGGCCTCCGGGTCACCAGGTCGCCAGGTCACCGGTCGCTGGGGTATCCATCCTCCAGGCCATCGGCTGGGTTCCCAAGTCCTCTCTCTGGTCCTCTACAAAACAAACTCCCTCTCCCCTCACCTCGTTAAACCAGTAACACCCAGGGAAACTGAGTCCCACCCGCTCCACATGCAAACCATTGAAACTCCACAGAAAACAAGAAAACCCACCACTTCGTCACAGAGAGGATCTGTTGAACTGTAGGAATAGGAGTTCTAATCCGGAGTGATGCTGGGCACAGAGACAATGACAGGTTTTGTTAGGGAATAGAATCATAGAATATAAGGGTTGGAAGGGACCTCAGGAAGTCATCTAGTCCAACCCCCTGCTCAAAGCAGGACCAATTCCCAACTAAATCATCCCAGCCAGGGCTTTGTCAAGCCTGACCTTAAAAACCTCTAAGGAAGGAGATTCCACCTCCTCCCTAGGTAACCCATTCCAGTGCTTCACCACCCTTCTACTGAAAAAGTTTTTCCTAATATCCAACCTAAACCTCCCCCACTGCAACTTGAGACCATTACTCCTTGTTCTGTCATCAGGTACCACTGAGAACAGTCTAGCTCCATCCTCTTTGGGGGTCTGGCTAGAGAATCTGAGGGTCTGGCTAGAGAATCTTGCCTGTATGCTCGGGGTTCTGCTGATCGCCATATTTGGGGTCGGGAAGGAATTTTCCTCCAGGGTAGATTGGCAGAGGCCCTGGAGGTTTTTCGCCTTCCTCCGCAGCATAGGGCAGGGGTCGCAAGCTGGAAGATTCTCTGCAACTTGAAGTCTTTAGATCACGATCTGGAGACTTCAACAGCAGAGTTAAGGGAAAGTGGGGGGGTCAGCTTTTGTGGCCTGCATCATGCGGGAGGTCAGACTAGATGACCATATTGGTCCCTTCTGACCTTAAAGTCTATGAGTCTATGAGTCTTTGGAACCCCCTTTCAGATAGTTGAAAGCAACTACCAAATCCCCCCTTATTCTTCTCTTCTGCAGACTAAACAATCCCAGTTCCCTCAGCCTCTCCTCATAAGTCATGTGCTCCAGACCCCTAATCATTTTTGTTGCCCTCCGCTGGACTCTTTCCAATTTTTCCACATCCTTCTTGTAGTGTGGGGCCCAAAACTGGACACAGTACTCTGGATGAGGCCTCACCAATGTCGAATAAAGGGGAACGATCACGTCCCTCGATCTGCTGGCAATGCCCCTACTTATACAGCCCAAAATGCCATTAGCCTTCTTGGGAACAAGGGCACACTGTTGACTCATGTCCAGCTTCTCATCCACTGTAACCCCTAGGTCCTTTTCTGCAGAACTGCTTCCTAGCCATTCGGTCCCTAGTCTGTAACAGTGAATAGGATTCTTCCGTCCTAAGTGCAGGACTCTGCACTTGTCCTTGTTGAACCTCATCAGGTTTCTTTTGGCCCAATCCTCTAATTTGTCTAGGTCCCTCTGTATCCTATCCCTACCCTCCAGCGTATCTACCACTCCTCCCAGTTTAGTGTCATCTGCAAACTTGCTGCGGGTGCAGTCCACACCATCCTCCAGATCATTAATGAAGATATTGAACAAAACCGGCCCCAGGACTGACCCTTGGGGCACTCCGCTTGAAACCAGCTGCCAACTAGACAAGGAGCTGTTGATCACTATCCCTTGAGCCCGACGATCTAGCCAGCTCTCTATCCACCTTATAGTCCATTCATCCAGCCCATACTTCTTTAATTTGGTGGCAAGAATACTGTGGGAGACTGTATCAAAAGCTTTGCTAAAGTCAAGGAATAACACATCCACTGCTTTCCCCTCATCCACAGAGCCAGTTATCTTGTCATAGAAGGCAATTAGGTTAGTCAGGCATGACTTGCCCTTGGTGAATCCATGCTGACTGTTCCTGATCACTTTCCTCTCCTCTAAGTGCTTCAGAATTGATTCCTTGAGGACCTGCTCCATGATTTTTCCAGGGACTGAGGTGAGGCTGACTGGCCTGTAGTTCCCCGGATCCTCCTCCTTCCCTTTTTTAAAGATGGGCACTACATTAGCCTTTTCCCAGTTATCTGGGACCTCCCCCGATCGCCATGAGTTTTCAAAGATAATGGCCAATGGCTCTGCAATCACATCCGCCAACTCCTTTAGCACCCTCGGATGCAGCGCATCCGGCCCCATGGACTTGTGCTCGTCCAGTTTTTCAAATAGTCCCAGATCACTTCTTTCTCCACAGAGGGCTGGTCACCTTCTCCCCATATTGTGCTGCCCAGTGCAGCAGTCTGGGAGCTGACCTTGTTCGTGAAGACAGAGGCAAAAAAATCATTGAGTACATTAGCTTTTTCCACATCCTCGGTCACTAGGTTGCCTCCCTCATTCAGTAAGGGGCCCACACTTTCCTTGGCTTTCTTCTTGTTGCTAACATACCTGAAGAAACCCTTCTTGTTACTCTTAACATCTCTTGCTGGCTGCAACTCCAAGTGTGATTTGGCCTTCCTGATTTCACTCCTGCATGCCTGAGCAATATTTTTATACTCCTCCCTGGTCATTTGTCCAATCTTCCACTTCTTGTAAGCTTCTTTTTTGCGTTTAAGATCAGCACGGATTTCACTGTTAAGCCAAGCTGGTCGCCTGCCATATTTACTTTTCTTTCTACACATAGGGATTTTTTCCCCCCTGCAACCTCAATAAGGATTCTTTAAAATACAACCAGCTCTCCTGGACCCCTTTCCCCCTCATGTTATTCTCCCAGGGGATCCTGCCCATCTGTTCCCTGAGGGGAGTCAAAGTCTGCTTTTCTGAAGTCCAGGGTCCGTATTCTGCTGCTATTATGTTCCCAATTCCTGTTGGTAATCCAACTGGGGAAGAGTTAAGGTTGTGTTGGAAATATCACCTTAACTTTGCATTTCCTGGTTTGCCATGTGTGAGTTTTGGGAATTAAATTCATGCTCTGGAAGAGTTTGAGGAGCACAGGGCAGGGCCGAGCACCTACATCATTAGCTCCATGTTAACAAAGGTTTTGCATGTGAATTGCTGCTGTTTATGCTGAACCTGCTGATGAGAGATCTGCAAGCTCCAGTGAGATCAGTCTGGTGTGTCTGAGAAGGAGTAAATCCCCTTCAGGTTTATTTTGAAGGTAAAGTGTCTGTCCATGTGCGGGATCACAGATGTTTTCAGGGTGCCCACTCCAGTAGTATCTATGCACCACATTTTCGGGGAATCTTGTGTATGTGCAGCTAGCATCTGCTAGAGTAAAAGTTGTGAAACAATGTCCATTTCACATTGTCCTACTTTTCACATCCACACCATTTTTTGAAACCTATAATTTTGGGCTGAAATAGCACATATTTAGCCTGTGCCCCACAGTGAATATTTTTACAAAATTTGAGCAAAACCCATGGTTAAGCTACGAGAAGGTAAAAATAGCCAGTTTTCCCATTTCTAAAAATTGCTGGTTTTTTGGATTTGTGATTTGGGGAACAATATCTCACATTTTGAACTCTCACCCTTGGCATTAGGCCCATTGTCCTTGCTGAGCCATGCGTGCTTTGCTAAATTCACACACACAAACTTTGTTAATGTGGAGTTAAGGTTGCAGGAACTCAGCGCTGCCCTGTGCTCCTCCTGCCCTTCCAGAGCAGGAGACGCAGCCTTAGCTGCTCCCAGAGGGATGCCGAGAGGAACTGGAAACTTCACAGCACCTGTCCTGTCCGTGGCCAAACTGGGGATTTTCTCTGTGGCCACCACTGACCAGACCAGGACTCACACGTCCCGTAGCGCCTCAGTGTGCTCTGTGTATCACCGCTGGCTCGGGAGTACTTGCTGCTAGCTGGCTGACACAACGCTGGAGTAACAGGCTGAGGGAGGGGAGAGGTACTGCGGTCTCCCTGACCGACCCCTCAGAGCCAGGAGCAAAGGGGCAGAGGGGAGGCTGTGGGGCTGTGTGGTGTGGGAAGTGTCACTTTAACTCTGCATTTCAAAGGTCTAGTCACCTTTACACTGTGCCAGTGAAGCTTTCACGTTCTGGAAGGGCACCATGGGGCCCCTGCACCAGTAATTCCACAGTCACAGAAGGGGTTTGTGTCTTAAAATGACATAACCACAGGTGCTGACTCTGTGGGTGCTCCAGGGCTGGAGCACCCATGAAAAAAAATTAGTGGGTGCTTAGCACCCACCGGCAGCCAGCTCCCCTCTTCCCCCAGTGACTCCTGCAGCCCACTGCCCTGCTGATCAACTCCTCCCCCTCCCTCCCAGCACCTACCGCCCACCACGATGAGCTGTTTCACAGAGTGCAGCAGGCGCTGGGGGGTGGGAGGGGAAGGAGCGGGGACGGGGGCACACTCAGGAGAGGGGGTGAAACTGGGTGGGAAGAGGTGGGACGGGGTGGGAGCTTGGGGGAAGGGGTCGGGTTGGGGCCTGGGGTATGGAGCCGGGAACACCCCCTGGGCTCTCTCCACACACACACACACACACACACACACACAAAATCTGCCCCTCAACCCCACCCACAACACTTCTTGCTACTCCAGCCCTGGGCTCCCCTCACACAAACAGCTATGCCAATGTCCCTCAATCCTGACCCACTGCTGTCACTGGTGGATCAGCCAATGGACCCACAGGGCCTGTGCCCAGGGGCCACGGCTGATTGGGGGCCCTCAGAAAAATGGGCGCCCTGCCCCTAGCAGACAAGCGCCCGGGTGGGGCAGGGAAAGGGAAATCTTCGTGCCCCGACCCCACTCCCTGCCAGCAGCGCCAGGCAGACAGGGCAGGGCAGAAGCACCAGGTGGGCAGGGCGGGAGAAGCTCCAGCACCCAGAGCCTTGTCCCCCGCAGAAGCGCGGGGTGGTGGGGGAAGCTCCAGCGCCCAGACCCCCACTGTGGCCCTGGGACTGGAGGAGCTCTGGCTCCCTGCTGTGGCCTTAGGACTGGGGGAGCTCTCACTCCCCACTGAGGTGCCGGGGCCCTGGCAGGGGGGACTGAGCTTCTCTGGTCTTGGGGTCACAGTGGTGGGGGGAGCAGAAAGGAGAAAATGGGGGCAGCAGTGGGGGTGTGTGGAATCAGGTGGGACAGTGGGTGGAATGGGGCAGGGCCATGGGGGAAAAGGGGCAGAATGGGGTGGGACTATGGGCAGGGCCACAGACGGAAGGGGCGGAATGGGGACAGGACTGCAGGCAGAAGGGGTGGGGAGGGGGCCCCCCACTTCCTCTGGCCCAGAGCCCCACAAAACCTTAATCTGCCTCTGACTGCCTTGGGCTCCTCAAGAGGAATGTTTTAGACTTGGGGAGCAGCAGCTTGTTCCAGGCAACCCCAAAGCCTAGAAGAGGAGGAGGGCAGCCACCCAACATGGCAATCCCAGAGAAAAGGAGGGCTCTCCTGGACTGACACCAGAAGGGGACACCATAGGAGGGGAACAGGCCACCAGAGACTTCCCTTAGCAAGGGGAGCCTACAATCTAGGGATGAAGGCTATTCCAAGCTGTATAGAGAAGTGCTGACTGCAGGGTGGTTCCCATTGAGGTCTGAGTTTGTCTAACTCAAGCCTCCCCGTGAACCTGCGGGGCCTGGACTCTGCCAGTGACTGCAAACTGATCTGCAGGGACCACACAGTCCTAGCACCACAGCAGGGAAGGAGGGATGGGAACTAGTTCTGCAGCTGATTCAGGACACACACACCGAAACCTCAGCTGTGTTACTGACTGTGAATGACGTATTCAACCTCTGTGACTTGTACCCAACAGCCCCAGGGTGCGGTGACGGATACATAGGGGAGCCGGAACTGAGAATCGTCCTTGTTGGTCGATGTGGAGCTGGGATAAGTGCAACAGGGAACTCCATCCTTGGAGAGGAAGTGTTTGAGTCCGAACTGGGACCATGTTCAGTAACTAGGAAATGTGCTACAGGGAGCAGGACCTGGATGGGGAGGAAGATTCTAGTTGTCGACACTCCTGGCCTTTTTAGCACCTATGACCCTTTAGAAGTGACCTTCCAAGAGATCAGACGTGGTGTTTCCCTCTCCTTCCCTGGGCCCCACGCTATAGTTCTGGTGAAACAGCTGAGCCGTTTCATAAGAGAAGAGGAGGAAATAGTTAAACAAATAAAAAGTAATTTTGGAGTGAAGACAACAAGATACATGATCATCTTACTCACCCGGAAAGAGGATTTAGGTGGTCGTGCACTGCATGAATACATAGATACATGTGACATAGAGCTTCAGAAGCTGATCAAAGAGTGTGGGAACCGATGCTGCGCGTTTAATAACAGAGCAAGAGGAGCAGAACGAGATGCCCAGGTGTCTGAGCTGATTGCAATAATTGACAAGATGGTGCAGGAGAATGGAGGCTCATTCTACACCAAGGACACATACATGAGCCGCCTCTTTCCTGGATTTACTGCTAAAAGATAAAATCTACCTGGCTGCATGAGGGAAGGGGTGGGTGGGGGATTGCGTGGATCAGGAGGGAGTGGGGAGGGTAGCGGTGACTGGAGCAGGGATCTGGAATGACAGCCTGGAAACAAGGAGTACTGCCAGGGCTGGATTTAGGGGCAGGCAACCCAGGCAACCGCCTGGGGTGCTGGGCTTGGGGGGCACTGGGACCAGGGGGCTGTTTTTGTTGTTAGCAACAAAAGGGAAAATAGAATGTTGGAAGTAACATGTTTCAGGAATTCCGAATGTGGATTCATTGCTCACTAACCTCCTGAAATGTTCTGGAGCTTTGTAGAATCTCGTGGAACCTTCTGAATTTTCTGCGAATCACATTTTCCTCAAACCTCCTAGAATGTTGTCAGCCAGGCCCTGGCAGATACATAAGGGGCGGGGTGTCACCAGTCAGTGAGATATAACAACAAAGGTATTCAAAAGTTTAGCAAATGGGGAGGGGGGGGCGCTGAAGACGCTCCTCACCTGCAGCGCCAGTTGGTCTAGGGCTGGCACTGAGTACAGTGGTGGAGTTGGAGCATCAGCCAGGAGATGGTGTTGTGAGAGGGGCTTAGTTTGGGGTAACGGAATGGGGGGTGGGGTGTTGAAAGAAAAGACTAGAGGAAATAGGGAGAGGGTTGGGTCAAGTGGGAGCAGGAGGAGGGGGTCAAGTGGGAGCAGGAAGGTAGAGGGACTAGGGGGGCAAGTGCAATTGTTGATATTTTTATTATTCACATATTGCCTAGAAACATGCTACAGATGTAACACACTTAGAGGAAGGCCTTGTCCACAGGGCAAAATTGCAGCAGTTTAACTTAAATCATTTTTAAACCAGTTTAGTTAAACCTGTGCAAACCCTTGTGTAGATGCTCTTATTTTGGTTTGGATTAAACCTGTTGCCAATCAATTTAAGGCTAGGTCTACACTATGGGGGGGGGGGTTCGACCTAAGATACGCAACTTCAGCTACGTGAATAGCGTAGCTGAAGTTGCGTATTTTAGGTCGACTTACCTGGCTGTGAGGACGGCGGCAAGTCGACCGCTGCCGCGCCGCCGTCGACTCCGCTTCCGCCTCTTGCCGCTGTGGATTTCCGGAGTCGACGGCAGAGCCATCGGGGATCGATTTTATCGCATCTTCACTAGACGCGATAAGTCGATCCCCAATAGATCGATTGCTACCCACCGATCCGGCGGGTAGTGAAGACGTGCCCTAAGATAAACCAAAAGAGTCACGCTTAAATTGGAACAAGAGCGTCCACACAAGAGTTTACACAGGTTTAACTATATTGACTTAAAATCACACTTTAGTTTATAGCAGTGCAACTTTCCTGTGTAGACAAGGCCACAGGTGCCAGCTTCTTCCTTGCCCTGGGAGTGCTCAACCCCCGCTCCACTCTAGGCCCCACCCCCACTCCACCCTTCCCCCTAACCCCCACCGTTTCCACCCCTCTTTCTACCCAGTCCCTCCCCTCCCCTGAGCATGCCCCATCTCCGCTTCTCCCCCACCTCCCAGCACCTCCTGCGTGCCGCTGAACAGCTGATTGTGATGGGTGGGTGGTGCTGGGAGGGAGGGGGAGGCGCTGATCGGCGGGACTGCTGGCAGGTGGGAGGAATTGGGGGGTGGGGGGAGGAGGTGGCTGCCGGTGGGTGCAGAGCACACACAGACACTAATTTTTTTCCGTGGGTGCTCCAGCCCTGGAACACCCAAGGAGTCAGCGCCTATGGACAAGGCCTATGATAGGTCTGTTGTGACACTTGGGTTCTAAAGTTTTAATTTTTTTAAAGTTACCCCACGCTAGACAAAGGAATGTGGTTCTGCCACCTTGAAGAGGTATTTCCAAGGCACATTAAGAGACAATGGGAATGCAATTTACATAGTAGGTGAACAGGACCATCAAGCCAGAGGGGGAGGAGATTGCAGGAAACAGATCAATTTGCATTTTAGCCAACACCAGGAGGGGAGAAACCAGCATGCAACTTCCTTCACCTGGAGACTCCATGTTGCCTTCCTCACTGCTTGAATGAACTTTACTTTGGCGGTAGTCTTCAGAAGAATCCATTTCAGAGGTTCACTGGACTACAAAAGAAAGGGGCAAAAAACTCCAAGTTACCTTTCACCATTGACTGGACTTTGTGGGAGATCCCGACCAGAGGGGCGATCAGCCATCTTGCTGGGTGTTAGATTGGTGAGGAAACTGCCTTGAACAAAGTCCACAGCTTGTTTTCTTAAGTCTTAGCCCCTCGAAAGCATTTTTCACTTTTATTTGCTTGTAACATTTCTAACTCTATCCTTTCTACCGGAAATCACTTACAGTCCGATCTCCTTGTGTTAATAAACTTCCTGTACTTCCAGTCTAAACCAACCCAGCATTGTGTTTGATTTAAAGTGAATGTTAACTTCATGTGGGAAGCTGCTGGGTATTGTATTGATAAAGGAACAAATGAACCTTAATGTCTCGCTGAATGGTCCAGGAGAGGGCTGGACATGGCAGAGGACATCGTTTGGGCGGAAATTTGGGACTGGAAATGTGGTGGAGTCACTTCTACAAAAGATAACTAGACTAGAGCGGGGCTGGTGTGTGGCAGGCAGGCTGCTGGGGTCAGAGTGCTGAAGCAGGGCTGCATTGCACACAGATACTCAGGGCCTGCTTGTCTGCTGGCTGGAAGCATCCAGACAAGAGAACCAGGGCCCCAGAGCATTTCAGGGGTACGGGGGGGCAGTGACACAACTCCTCACTGGTCTGAGTTGCACCCCAGAACGTAACACAGGCCTACCCTGATTGCAAGTCCAATTGATGGAAAGCGGATGATAGATCATACATTACAGTAACTTATAGCAATGAATGTTGATAGAAAGGGCATGAAAGACAAAGAAACTGGACTGGTACTGTCAAGGCTGTATCCTCACTTTGAACCTTAGGGTACAAATGTAGGG